ACCTAGCAGATGAGATGCTGAAGCATTTTCGGGGGAGGCCTTGCCGAGCGACATACAAGTCACCGCCGGGGCAAAACTCCATAACCAAGCATGAGTAGTGAGAAGCATCAAACTCAGCGTAGAGAGTAGGCAAAAAAGGGTGATCAAGCATGTCCAGAATCTCCTTCTCCATCTCAGCTCTGTGCAGCTTCTTCCTTATAGCAAGTGCTTCTCTGTCCACCACTTTCATGGCATAAAAGCACTGCGGCAAACCCACCACCGGGTTTCTTATCTGGCAAAGGTACACATTTCCTATGTCGCCGCTGCCGAGTCGACGGAGGAGACGAAAATGTTCAAGCCCAACTCGGCCTTTAGAGCTGCGGAGCCTCCTCATGGCTTCCCATGCAGCTTGGTTGGCTTTGTGGGGCTTGTGAGCAGAGGAATGCGGGCAGGCTTCAGTGGCGGAGGAGCAGATGGAGACCGAACTCGGCCGGCGGCTGCTGAAGCTCAGGTTGCTCATCCAGCTCCGGCTCGAGTCCGGAACTGTTATGGATGAGCAACTGCTATCATATTCCGATTCATCTTTGGTTGTCATGGCTGCCATTGTTGTGAAGAAGCAGAGAGAGAGAGAGTGTGTGTGTTCTGTTTGCTTTATCGGGCTTTTTATAACAAGGGGTTTGTGAGAACTAGTAGGCTATGAGGCTATTTAGCACATCAAAATATGTAATAGTTGTTCAAACAAAGTTACAAAGTGCTACTTTTGATAATAAAAGAAAAATTAGTGTGTGATACTACCGAATTACAATAATTTAGTATAATTAGTTTATGTGTTAATATATGAGTAGACATTATTGTAGAATTTTCTTATTTTTAATCCATTCTCACATACCAAATATCGGATTCCACTAAATATGTGTCAAATTTTGGTAGAAGTTAAGGATGAAAACTTTACTTCAGCATGATTGTTTTATTTGGACAACTCTCACATTGAATGTGATGAGTCATGGAGTCAAGTTGTATCATCATGCATAGAGTGTTTTCACTTCTGTTAGAGTTGTCTGATAAATGATGTAGTCGCTGTCTCTACCCAAGTTTTATCAAACTTAAGTGCCAAGTTATTGTTCTATGCAGCTATGAAAGTCATCTATATACTTACCCATGTTTCCACAATATTTCACAACAATGCCATTCTTTTCACTTTTTGATGAATCATGTGGGGTTCTCCCAAAAGATACGTAGAAAGGGGAGCAAGAGGATGGCTATTTTGGTAAACCACTCCACTTTTGGAAATACACAGTGCAAGTCTATGGAAATTTATCTGGTTCACCATTTCCATTTCTTTTTTCTACAATTTCTAGCGTTTTAATTTCTTACAGCTGATCTCAACCAACCCAAGCTATCTGCCTTCGGCCAAACAAAAGACTGCAGCAAATAAAGAGCTTTTAGATTGATCTTGTTCTAGGCATGCTTATCTCAGCTGACACCACCACTATGCTTTGTTTTCAAAAGTGACTTCCAAAACCAATGGTTGATGCATGTTTCATCATATTAAAATTATAAAACCAGCCAAACAAGGCCTTGTAACTTGTAATTTTCATTATTTATCTTATCTTCTTTTATTATTTTAATGGTGCTTTAATTAGGACCTTGTCAATTTCTCATATGTAAAAGGTCTTACATGGAAGTAATTATTTTATGATGTGATATTTCATGTCTTAGAATCTAACTAGTTGTATGTGCATGTCATTTGCTTCTGTCTCCCTGCAGTTTGCTGTACAAATTTGTATTCTATGAATACTTTTGGGGTCTTGCTACTTTTTCCCTTTCTCTAATCATCATTTGACACCTACGATTAGACATGTAAGAGTTTCACTAAAACTGTTTTTGTATAAGATACTTCAGCTCATAAGAGCGCTTAATAAGCATAAATTTTTAACATAAACCCTAAAGTATTTTGTGTAATTTTTATGAATGCAACATGTATTTCTTCAAAAAGCTGCTTTTACGATTCATAACCACTTTTAAGGTTTTCAAACACGTTAGCTCTTCTAGAACTAGTCTCAAACAAGTGCTAAGCCCAAATTAATGGGTCGAGTTGTTTTATTTAAACGATATTCGACTATGTATGTGTAGAAAATTTGAACTTGAATTACACTCTTTTAGAATACTGCTTTAATTAACATGGCATCGATTAGGGTTTTCGACAAGTATTTTTGTATTTGTTTAGCGGGTGGCTGATTTGTTATTTTGCCTCAACAAATGTGCCTTTCCAAAGCTGGCGGTCAAAAAGCGTCGCTTCTTTCTTTTCCCGTTAAAAGCCTCGTTCCACCGTTTTTTCAAGAACCACGATAAAAGTTCGCAAACCACGCCTACCCTCAACGACATGTCGTAGTGTTGGTGTTTTACCACTGTTATCTACCAATCAACCTCTATCAAACGGTCAAATTGCTTGCCACCTTAAAAATCGATATTCTGCTCTGTAAAACAGTAGTTACTTTAAAAGTGAGGGACCTTTTGGTAAATTAACAGACAGGCCATAGGTCAGTGGAAAGGTGGTGGGTGCACCAAATACCCGTGCCTCTGTATTCACGTCCACCTCATTAGGGTTACGTGGCTGGTGCCCCTTTATACCTTCTGCCCTAATATGTTTATGACGTTCTTGTCATGCATGTGAACCCATGTAGACTGTAGGGGACCTGCATTTGGTTTATTTTGGTTATTCATGCTTGTGAGATTTATAAAGGGTAAGGACGTCTGCATCAGCTCATGAGAGTATGAATGATAGGTCCTAACACATTTTCTAATAAACAAAAGTTTATGATTTGTATTTAGTCCTTTTGTGTGGAGAATTTAGATTGTGATCACGTGACATATCTGACCACCTAATATCAACAAGCATATGAAGACGTTATAGACTGTCAACATGTTCTGCATGCTAGTTATTGACACAATCTATACTTCAATTACTTAGTTGTTGATATCATGTTTGATAAATTTCAAAATGAAAGTCTAGATGAAAAGTAAATGATGATGTGCGCAGTAGCATCGCCCATGTAAATATACTTTCTTACATAAAATATTATTTAACTTAAGTACTTAGGCTTGTGTGTATTCTCATTTGTAAATTAGTTCAAAATCCCCTCTAATAATATTATTATTATAATTTTTTATTTCATGCATCCCACCATTGAAAGACATCATATTCCCGCCTTTTAGCTTTAGATCAGACAACAAAGATCACCCAATCAGTGTGATTCTGGACTTTCTTGTTGATACTTACCCCATCCCATGGTGTTTGATCTTGTGGGACCCTAAAGCACAATTTATTTTAAATTTGTTTCTGTTCACAAAACCAAATAAAGAGATTTTAAAGAAAGAAAAAAGCAACAAATATTATTCATGAGAGGGAAAAAATGGAAAAACATGGGTTTGAATTTGATAGATGAAATATATTTAGGAGGATGGCACCAAATCCTGTCCCCTCTGCCAGTTTTAATGGAATTACTTTGGACCTTTCACAAATTCTTTGAAATTTTCCTCCGCAGATATCTTTTTTTTTTTTTAAATTAAATTAATTTTTATCCCTTTTTCTGCCTTTTTTTCAATTCTGCACTTTTTCACCACAGGATCTTATCAGTTGCAATGCTTTTGTTCCAATTTCAGGCAACAAACCTAGCAAGAATTGCAGTGTTACAGAGAAGCATATATATAGGATGACTCAAAGCTCCATCACTTGCCCCATACATTCCTCTCCCCTCACCAATAAAAGTTTCCGACAACATTGTCTTCTTTTTTCTTTGAGGTTAAACCAACAATAACAATCAAGTCTTATCCCACTAAGTGGAGTTGGCTGTATAAATTCTAGAACGTCACTACGCTTGGTTTTGTTTTAAGTCTTTTGTTAGCTCCAAGTACTCTATATCCTTTCATGCAATACAAAACACATACTATTCTTCAATTTATTATAGCCGACGGTCAAAAATTAGAAGGGTGTATGAGAAGTAAAAGGGGGTGTATGAATAGCACACCCCAAAACAAAATAATCTGTTAGAACTACGCTTGGTAGAATAGTATCAGTGAGGACATTAATTTTTCTGATAAATAATTTAGTTATATGTGTTTTTGTATTGCATGAAAGTTTGGTTTTTATTGTATCATCATGGACAAAATCTCTCATCATTGCAAGCGATCATGTTTGAAAATATTTCATTTCATTTCTTTATGCAACCACCAATTGATAAATTAATGTCAAAGAAGGGTGAAGCCTTCGATTATAATTCGAGATTAGTACGTATATAGATTAAAAACGACAAACTTTTCTCTATAACGTGGGACAAATTTTTCAGATCGAGAATGTGAATAGCTTGTCGATGAGCACAATAAAATCGGAAGAAAAGATACGATGAAATTGGAACCAACAATGTCGTTGTCTAAACTGTGAACTTCCACTTCTTCAATAATGTAGAAGGATCATAGACTGAGCAAAACATGGCCAAACTGACAACCCCACAACAAGACTTTACACAGTAATATATGAATATAGGAAAGTTTATGAACCCTAGCTAGGGTTTCTTAAGAAAAGGTTTGTGAAGAAGCATAAATTTCAGTGCAATTGGATAAAAAATTCAACGACGATATGGATACATATGCTGAGGAGTGAGGAACTACCTTTAATTTAATTTAATTTTTTAATGTTTTTTATATTTATTTTGTTTTCATGATATGAGTTGGTTTAAACACAATTTGATTAATACTTGATAAGAAATTCTCTATGACAGATGTCTATTTTGTTGTATACATAAAACGGATTTATATCGATAACAAGTCAATACGTTTTAGTTACATGATATCGGTGACTTACCACCACCATATTAACAATATGTATTTGTATAAACAAAGGATGTCTTGTCCAAAGAAGAATGGATGGGCTTTGGCTTTGGACTTCAAGTTGTCTTGCCTAGGGCTTTTGGGCCCCATATAAGAAATGGGTACTGCTAAATTTGTTGAGAAACTGTGCCTTTTATACGTGCATGGAGAAAATAAAAAATAAATATGTACATTTTGGTAGAGGATAAAATTCAGAAGGGAAAAAAAAGTAGAAAATAACCACCTCAGGTGGCTTCATCAGTTCGAAAAAGAACATATAGCTATACATCTGCACATTTACTTGGAACACAAGCAACGATTTACCTTTGATTCGCTTTCGAAGCTGTTATCGTGCTTCCACTTCCGAAAATGTTAATAAATTTACGGAAGGCAATCGATTTAATGGTTTATCAACCATTAATGCTTTATCAACCTCTGTCGTTAAATTCGAATACGTAGGCTGCTTAGGGTTAGGTAAAGTTGCTCCTTCATTGCTCAGCATCGAAACAACATCCGACATGGTTGGTCTATCTTCTGCGCAGTCTTGGACACATAAAAGACCCAACTGAATGCAGAGCACAAGGCTTTGCATTGAGCTTGAATCTGCCAATGTCGAATCCATAAGCTCCGCGGCTCGCCCAGATTTCCATAAGTTCCAAGCCTTCAACAATTTTCACATTTTAAACTTGGATAAATAGAATAGAGGGGTATATCATACAACAATTTTATAAATTCAGAACCAAAGCGTGTTGCTACTTACATGTCCTAGTAAGTTTAGGGAATGATCTGACTCATAAAAATTTGCATTCTTCCTACCGCTTACAATCTCCAATACAATAACTCCAAAGCTGAACACATCGGATTTAGTTGAGAAAAGGCCGTGCATCAAATACTCAGGAGACATATAGCCACTGGTTTTAGTGAAAAGAAAAAGTGAGTTATTAGTTTTATGAAAAATATATGCTGCATGACAAACACATGTCAAAAATACACAAATGCAGGCATGAAATTACTTACAATGTTCCAACAACCCGATTTGTTTTGGCTCGACATTCATTCCCAGATAAAATTCTAGCCAAGCCGAAGTCTGAAATCTTGGGGTTCATGTGAGCATCCAATAAGATGTTGCTAATTTTCAGATCTCGATGAATAATTCTTAATCTAGAGTACTTGTGAAGATAAAGAAGCCCTTGAGCAATCCCTTCGATTATGTGTATGCGCTGTCTCCAATTTAATAGCCTTCGCTTTGATTGATCTGCAAGAATTGCAATTCAACAGCATGAGAGAACTAAACCGATAACCAAATATAAAATAGGGAAGGGGCGTAGATGAATTTACAAACCGAAAAGGAAAGAATCCAAGCTTTTATTGGGCATGTACTCATATATTAGTATCTTTTCTTCTCGATGAATGCAACAACCCAAAAGCTTCACAAGATTTCTGTGCTGGAGCTTAGAGATTAACTGCACCTCGTTCTTGAACTCCACCGGTCCTTGTCCAGAACTTTTGGATAACCTTTTGACTGCAATGTCGTGTTGTAGTAATTTGCCCTGCAACAAACAACAGATACAGGTTTTTTTTTCACATAAACTTTGAATCTAATATAACTTCTCAAATTAGAAATCGATAAAACTCGTCACACCATATGCCTTATTGTTAGAAATGTAGTACAATTGCAATACAAACCTTATAAACAGGCCCGAAACCACCTTGCCCAAGCTTATTTGCAAGAGAGAAATTATTCGTGGATTTCACTATAAATGAAAAGCTAAGCAGTGGCAACTCATGATCCTTCTGCCTTCCAAATTCTATAAGATTAGGACTGCTGGCATTATCATCGGCATTCAACTGCGACAATAACAGCCTCATACTGTCTCTCGTGCCACTGCGGAATTCATAAATTCCTGTTGTTGGTACAAAGAAGTCAGTCTACTCAACATATTAATTTGGCAACGTTTTGCTGTGTGTTGGACAATCGATAGCGTAGTTAACGTACCTAAAGAGTTGCACTTTATCCATAGCAATAAGATTAAAATGAACAACACAAAGGGAATCACCATAATTGTGACAGCCAACAGCTTCCTATCTGAGGAGTGGGGAAAGAAAAAGAAAATGTTCTCTATCAGAATTTAGGGAGAGAAAAAGGAGGCTGTTCACATCTTACCATCTAAAAACTTTAAGGGCATTTGAATGAACAAAGGATACGTAGTTCCGCTGTTGATTCTTCCTCTAACTATCAAAGGTTGAGTAATTGAAAAAGCTTACCGGATTTAAAGGCGTTACCACGCACATAGATGGTGCTGTTTCCTGTCCTGACGATTCTTTGAAGATCGGTTTTATTTCCATAATAAAGTTGACATAGAGTTCCATCATCCGGCAGAGAATCATATGTATATGCAACACATGAGCAATTGTTCCTGCACAATATCTCGCAGTCATAGGGATCTATCCGAATTGGCCAACTTAAAAACAATGAAATCGGCAGCATTCCTGTGACACGTGAGAAATTATCTCCATCTGAGCACGCTGATGGCGTCCGCACCAAACAGCCGTTAGAACTGCGTGCCATTGTGTCATTGCATAGTGAATAATCGACAATCGTAATCTCATTTCCTACCATCATGAACTCATCAATCAGCCCATCCGAGGCTACCACGAACCACGAAGGCATGCTACTATTTTTATTGCTAAAAGTAAGATAAATCTCGTTACTATGCCAAACGAAACTGTAGTTGAGATTATCCGACTTGCTTTTGAAGAATAAATGGAATTCATGGCCATCCCAAAATCCAATCTGTTGGAAAGCTCCATCGCTGCGCCAGACGTTGAACTGAGTGTGGTTCACTTGATCAATGCCTAGAGCATAAGGACCATCAGTAGGGTCAGAAGTGCTTGACCAGGACACAAGATACTGTCTCCTCGACTCCTCAGTGTTTATGTTGAACAACCCCAACTTCATTCCAGGAAGAAATGTATCCGTCGGGTAATAGAAACTCTGCCAAAACGTGTCTCCTCCTTCCATCAGGACAAGATTTCCCGAGTCAAGAATCGTTACAGTTGTGTTTTTCCCTGGTGCAACTGCTCCATAATTCACAATAAACGGAGTGTCTCTTCTGTCAAGGATCACCATGTTCCCATCATACCGGATGGTGAGATATACTTCGGAGGAACCCACCGTTCCAACGGAATCCATAAGGGGGCTGTTTCTGTTTGCAACCCAAACTGGCTTTTGGTTCTTGTCATTCTTGAACCAGATTCCCATGTACGTGTCCGGCGAAGAGGGGGAGCTGAAAAAGCCTAGCTCAAACACTCCGCCGGCAGAAACCAAGGTTTGATTGCTGTACAAGAATTGTCCATGACTCAGGGTGTCCGATGCATAAGTTAAACGCACAAAGAAGCAGGTGAAAGTACACAACAGAAGAGAAAATGTTCTCGATGTTTTCATGTCTAAACAAATCAAAGACAGAAAACAATTGTACTATGAGGGACTATGTTGCGATGAGGGTTGTTATACTAGGTGGCAACATTTGAGAGAGAGAGAGAGAGAGAAAGATAGAGAGTCAAAAATGGTGGAGGGGTAGCAATTCTTTGGCGTACGGCTTCTGTAAATTGATATCATGTTGGGAATTTATGTTTGGGAACTTGGAAACATGACAGGATAACAGCCCAACAATTATATATACATATATATATATATATATATTAATTATGTGTATTTAATAAAATTGTATAGTCCAAATGAAGGAATAAACATAATTAACCTTAATCTTAACCGAGAAGTCTGGAGAGCATCTAAAATCCAAGAAAGTGTTGACTGCTAGTTGGCCGGCCAAGGTCAAGAACATGAATCTTAAGCATTGATATTATCAATAATATTCTCAAAAGGTCTAATATTCTATTAGTTTGTCCCTACTTGTGGAGAAATTTTTCAATGTGACGGGAATATGAGTAGTACATCATGTGTTTTTATATAAGTTGTGAGAAATTTTATTTTTTAAGTTATTAACATTTTAATATACATATCTCACTATTTATATAATGACACGTGATATATCATTCCGTGTGCTTGTCACATCTTCACATCAAAGACGGAGAGCACATAGCACTTAACCTTATGCGTTTTAAAGTATGATCATTTGGTCTTAAGCGACAGTTGGTCTTCATTTTGTTAAAAGATGTGTTTGAGAATCTGCTTAAAGGCCTCATACAGTACACCATCAGTCTAAGCGAAAAAACGTGGCTCTTTTTCAAAATGCTCTAACTTAAGAGAATGAGATTCACTTTGGATTTTTGTGTTCGGAGCTCGTGAATCGGGAGATCTGAATCGTTCAAAAAAGAGAAAGAGATCTGAGTTGTTCATCTTTTTTGAATTTTTGTGAAGTGTGCCAATGGAATGGACTAATGGAGATCATAAAATTGAAATTAAGTGGTCCAAATCTCTCAATTTGCAGATCTAGACACAGAAATCCGAAGTGGATCATAATCCCAACTTAGGGTGCATTTGCCACTTCACGTAACGGAGTGGATGCAAGTTTCTTGAATGCGCCTTTGATTAAGTCCCGTTCTCGTAAATAATGGAAACCCAAATAAAAGAGGGTTAGGATCCCATCATCCTAACATTCCAAATTCTAACGGTCTCCGCATACCAAAACAAACGGGCCTCAGTTTTCTGGTACGGCCCACTTCACCTGGATTGCCTTTTGCCTTTAGCTTCAGAGAGTTTGACTCAACGCCCTCCAACAGTTCGACAAATCGACTGAGCGAAACTCCACCACACCAACCATGTTTCCGAAGCAACTCCGCACCGTTGGCACAGCCGCCGCCGTACTCCTCGGTGGAATCCTCACCCTCAACCTGGCTTCCACCGCCACAATCGGAGCTCTCCGGTTCGCCGCCGAATCCAAACGGGTAAAAAGACCAAAAACCCAGCTCTTAACTTCCAAAATATCTTCTCCGTCTTTGTTGAATTGGTATCTTATCGCCATTTTGTTGGTGGGTTTTTGCGGCAGAGAAGGGTTGCGCTGCCCTGTGTGGTTTGCAGAGGGAAAGGGTTTTATATATGCAAGCTTTGCAAAGGGAATGCCACCATTGAATGGTCGCCGCTGCACGATCCGATTGCCATCAACCCCTGCCTTTGCCCTACCTGTGATGGAAATAGGTAAATTCGATACTAACGCTCTTTGCTTCGATTATCCGTCGGAAAATTGACAAAAAATGCAATATGATATGTAACGAAGGTTAATAGTACTAATTGTGTCCACGTATTTTGTGATAAAATTTCATACTTGTGGTGCTTGTAGGGGGAATAGAAACGTTTGTTGATTATACGAATGTAATTAGCAGTGGGTTGCTGGTTCGTCTCTTTAAAATATTAAGATTGCTTATCTTTTGCATGTGAAATTTTGTGTGTTTTGATGTTTTTTTTTTTTTATTATTATTTTTTTTAATGGGATTTTGCAGGGTGCAACGCTGTCTCAACTGTCTAGGGAAGGGATACAATTGAGTAATTGTATAATCAATGGCAGAATGGTTATTTCTTTAGTTCTTAATCATGTAATGTTACTCAACCTTATGTTGTAACTTGTACGAGTGCATCAAAATAAAGTGAGTCTTACTTTTGTTGCATGTGATCATATATTTTAGGGTAAAGTGTGAGGTTTTTACGAATGCGTTCCGGTTCAAAATCCACATGCTGGTTCAAATTAATGTAATAGTTTCGAATAGGAGAAGCATGAAAAAGAAATCAGATCAACTAGTTCTCCTAGTCGATTCAGTTTAAACCAAAGGAAAAGGATCCGACGAGGATCTTTTTCCTATGAAACATATGATCATAACCGTTCATCGTACATCGTGCGATCAGAAATCATTTCAAAATTTAAAATTTAAAATTAAATATGAACAGTACTTAAAAAAAACTGATCGCACGATATACAATGAACGGTTACGATTACGAGATCTCTAGAATCTAGGAAAAGGAGATCCTTTTCCTTTGGTTGGAAGTTTAAACCTTAATTTGCACAGATGGTAGGATGACAGGGTGATATGCACAGATTTTGTTTAGGGTTTGTTGGGTGGGGTGAAAATGGACCAACAAACAGGCCCACATCCAAAATTAAAAAACCCAAACCCAACCCAACATAAAACAAAAGCCCAACATGCTTTCTCAAAAATTCGGTCATCCGACGTCGTGTTGGTTTGCCGTTTGCCAACCGCACCCCGAAGTTTCTCGTGTGTACATCACCTGCGGGCCCCACCATATGATGTCCCGCTAGAGGTCCCACAAACCGTCCGGTTGGGGTGGTGTTCCAGCTTGAACTCCGCCGCGTGTAACCCACCAGCCACCCTTCTCGACGTGGCAGTCTCCCCTTAGTTCCGGCCTTGTCATCAGAAACTGAAAAATGGTTAAAAAGTGAGGTGCCGCTTTTGTTGTTTTCTGGCGGGAATGAATCATCGGTGGCCCGCGTACACGTCGGCTCAGAGGCTAACTTACGCCCGCTGTCGGCGTTTAAACTTATACGTGTGAGAATCCAAATCATTTTGGAATAATTAATCGATAGACGATAAGGAATAAGAATAAGATAAGAATTAGAATTAGGTTGCAATTTTGAATATTCTTATTTTTGTTTTTCATAGGAACTCATCTATAATGATATTTAAAATTACTGAATACGCTTTTTGTAAATTTAAAATAGACTTATGTTAGAAAATTTACGCAAGTAAATGTCGAAAAAACACTTGACTTGTGTTTTCTACAATGAGCACATAACTCGTATTTTTTACAGGAAGTATTTTAAGTGCATTTGAAATCAAAAAAAATATTTTATCTAAAAGCTCTTGAGTTATTTAAAAAATACTTCTAAACAAGCATTAACTTATTAGGATTGTCATGTAATTTAATATTTAAAAAGTTGTAATGTTTACTGAATGTCTCGATTTGGTTCGATTCACGATTAAATCTTTTGACATTATTTTTGCTTGACTAATCTTTAGAGGTAGTTCTATTCTTTCATCCTACTTTGCATTTCCCATGCAAATTCGTTATGCCTTGAAAAAGACTGATGTTACCAATAATTTCCAACCGGGCGCAAGGTGGCGTGGACTAACTATCTTCAACTGCTTGCTTTGTGTGGAGGTTTCCTGACTGCACTAGAAGACAAATTATCTCGTTAGAATAAAACTGCCAACAGGCCAAATGGCATGGCATCATCCTACGAGAATCCCTGCGTTCAATAAAGTAATGCCCTTGCATGGCATCTTATTAACACAAATGCCACTCTTTAATTAAATTTTGGTTAGTCCTCCAATCAACGGTTTCCACCTCATCGTACCAATCTTTAAAATAAACCTTGAAGCATCATTTTCCCAACTAATAAATATGGACGGTTAATTGATAACAAGAAAAGTCATGCATTTATTTTGTCGATGGAAAAGTGATACACGCGTATGAAATTAAGTAATGAAATATGGATTCAGAGTAGGCTTAGTAATTTCTTATTCAATCTGTTAATTTGATACGAAACAACGCTCAAATAAAATGTTTTGGATCAATCTATTAATTAGTTGGATCATTATCAAGTCACCTATGAACAACTCGATAAAATATAAGTTTAAACATTTATAAATCACAATTTCTTGCATGGTCCTATAACTCGACAAGAGTCATTAACAAATTGAGTCATTATCAGATCACTTGTTAAGATAACGAGTTTGACAAGTAATAATCCGTTAAGATAATGGATATGTCACGAAAATGACACGAAAACGACCCGTTTAACATGATTAATTCAAAGTGTGTATATCTTCATAGTCACTCTTGAATTTTCTGTAATTGATATGAACGTATAAATTTTATTTCTTAATAGAGACATGTCAAATGAAAAAGAAAACTCGATATTCATACCATTCAAGTGTTCACATGATTCATCTCAATCACATGTATATTTTCTATCCTCCACAATCAATAAAAGCAAAATAGCACACTTGTACTTACAAAATATAAACAATGAAATCTTAACCACAAAATCACAACTAGACGTGTATTAGACTCAGACTCAAACATACACCGAAATAAATTAAAATTACACAACAACCTCCACCATTTGAGGGATGAGAAGAAATCCCATGTGTATTGGATTAGGTTTAGGACCACAAAATCAGATCAACAAGAAAATTCCTATATTTTTTATAATTGGAGGGTTCTTATTTCACAAGAATCATAATAGGTGGGATTTTAACCTAAAAAAGGGTACCTTATCTTCCTAATTCTTCTGAAATTTAATACAAATAATTAATTTTTATTTCCAGCCACCTACAATTTATTATATCACTTTTCAATTTACATCAGTCCAAAAAGAAAAAAAGGAGGGAAAATATGTGAGAGAAGTCACATGATTCCCACACAATTTATTTAAAAAACACTAACTTTGGTTTTTTTTATTTATTAAATTAATTAGGTTTATTCATGAAATAAATATATTTATTTATACATAGCAACCTCATACAAGTTGTAAAACACAAAAAGCAACAAAAATTCATGTGGAAACAGAGTGGCAACATGGAAATTTCGAGACACTCTCGGGGCAAAGAGTTGATTTCCCCCTGCTACGCTCCCATACAAGTACAAATGTTAATATCACACGCACAAACTGTTTCTCAACACCCAAACGTTCGCTCTCTCACTCCTCAGTTTCTCTCTCTATGACTACCATGAAAGAGCCACCTCTCTCCCGTCGCAGAAGGCCAACTTGCCACCAGCCCAAGAAGCTGAAGCTCGTCTGCTGCTTTAAAGGCGCGTTCCATACCCGCCCGCCGTCCGGGAAGCTCCGCTACGTCGGCGGTGAGGCCAGAATCGTATCTGTGGACCGCAACATCGTGTACTCCAAGCTCCGATCAAAGATTTTGGATCTTTGCCCCAACAGTAACCCCTCATTCACCCTCGTGTACCAGCTCCCGGGTTCCGGCTCCGACTCCGACTCAGCCGCCCCTCTAGTCATCGTGGCGTCAGACGACGACGTTCGGTGCATGATCGAAGAGTACGACAAGCTGGAGCTGTACGGTAAGTCCCCGAGGCTCTGGGTCTTTGTTTGTTGTAGCAATGTCAGTGATGATGTCAATGGTTATGTGAATTGCGTGAAAGGAGTGAAATTTAGTAATGGGCTTGAGTCGGAGAGCGAACATGTAGGAACCCACCACCGCCATTTGGGCGGCGAAGCTCATGTGGAGGAGAAGACGGCGGTGAAGAACTTTGGGGGCGGACGGTCCGGCGATGAATCGCTGAGAAAAAAGGTGCTGAAACGGCAATTGCTTGCAAAGCAATCGGCTTTTCGGCGTCGTTTTGGTGCTGGTGAGAGTGATGTGGAAATGGGGTTTTTGGGTGAATCCCAAAAGGGTGGATCTTTTGATAACAGATTAGGGACTAATTGTGGTGATAATCTAGAAAGTTTTTCGGTGTCTCGGGCTAGTCCGTTGAATCCCAGAGATGGGAATTTGAGGTTGAAAGGTAAGAGTTATGGGCAGTGCTATTCGGGGAGGTCGGGGAGGGATTTGTGTAATGGGGTTGGGAGGTCGAGTCAGGCGCCACCTGCGAAACCAGTACCGGGTTGTAACGGTTGTTGTAGTGATGCTAAGCTGGATTATAGAAACAATGGAATGGCTGGGATTAGTTATGTGAACAGAGAAAACATTATGCCTTGGGAGTGGGGCAGTGATTCTTTGGCTGGAACTACTGTGTATCCTGTGAAGTCTTCTTGTAGTGGTGATAGGGCGTGGTGCAGCTTAAAGAGCCGGATTCGTAACCATAGGTTTGGTGTGAATGATGCTAGAAATAAGCGGTGTTGTCATTACCATGTTTGGAACCATAATCGGATCAACATAGCTGAGATGGGGAGCCATCGAACAAGGCAGGGAATTTCAGCACGAAAATGCTACCCAGGGCTTAGGCCAAATTTGAAAATTGCAAAGCAGGGGCAGCCTGTAAGAGTATATAATCCGAGTTTATGGAGGCAATGTTCTGGTTTCTCGGAGCATGCAATGGAAGAAAGACTGAGGATGATGGGTTCTAGCTCAACGAAGGACGGCTACCTGATAGATAATCCGAGCGGATCCTATTCAGGTAATTGTGGTGCATATACTGGCGTGGGAAATCAATCTCTTGTGAATTCTGATGCCATTGAGAGTTCATCTCCATCTGTGAAGACAATGGACATTCTGGAAGATCGCCTAACTGGTTCTAAGTTTGGGAAGTGTGAATGTCCATATCAAACTTCATATGAAAATCTTCATGGAATGCCCGGTTATTGTGAGCTTGAGAAGGAGACGCGCCTGATGGACTCTCATGAGGTTGCTAACACCTCCGGCTTTCCAAGTGAAGTGGGCTGTCGTAATGGATTGGAAGGTGATAATAAGTTGCCTGATGGGGAAGCAGTCATCGACGCTTTACACGATTGCAAAAATGGCATTAATGACATACAAGTTTCATGTAGCGGAGTCCCAGCTTCAGTGAGTGTTTCTTTGCATAACCTCTCACTGTCATCATCCAAAGAAGTGGAAGCTCCTCAACTCTCTTCTCATGCCAGCAGTGTTGTGTCTTCTGATGTCAAACATCAATCAAAGCCTATAGA